GGGTCTGGCGGAGGAGGAGGAGGGAGGGAGACTGATGGATGAGGAGAAGGCAGGAGGTAGACTATGGCAGAGGAAAGGAGCCTGATGTGGAGGACGAGAGAGGGAGCTATGGCGGAGGAAGGAGAGAGGGAGACTATGTGGAGGGAGGTTTACTGATGGAGGAGGATGGGGGCGAGAGGGAGACTGATGTGGAGGGAGGAGATGGTGGAGGAAGGAGAGGGCGCTCTCCCATCAAGATCTGTAATGCATTTGCAATTGCTATTTTAATGATTTTTGCGAGGCCCTTGCCTCTATGAGCCCTATAAGGCCCTATTTTTGCAGCCCGTCGGCCGCCCTTTTCTGGCCATCACACAACTCAGGGAAATTCAGGCAGTTGCGCAGCGCCAGTTGGTTGAGTGAACCCAGGCCCTGGGCCGCCTGTGTGAATGTACATGAAGCAGGCCCTGAGCTGGATACAGGTACCGGGCCAAACACAGGCCGAAAGCAGTTGGGCACATGCAACCACTTCAGGCCCAAGGCCTGCTCCCCTCGTGCTGGGCCTCAGGCTACCGGGGCNGGCCTCAGGCTACCGGGGCCTACTGGAAGCTTCCTGGACTGGACGCAGGCAGGCCACTTGGATATAGGAAAGGGCCGGCCTCCTCATTCGGTATTCGGGTGCTGGCTGCATGCTGCGCAACTGCTGCTGCTGCGCTATTTGCTGGCTGGCGCCTACGCTCTCACGGGCGAGCAGGGAAGGAGCGGGCAGCCATAGCCGAGCTGCTCCGCTGTGAGCTGGGTGTGGCGCAGGGTGGTCCTTGGGTGCTAGTGGCATCTGTGAGTTGGGGAACGAGGTTGTGAGTGTAGCGCCAGACATACCTGGTGCTGGAAGCGTGCGACATTGGTCGCCATATGCTCGTACTTCGGGAATGCTGTTGATGTCGTCTTTCGGCTTCATAGTATAGGCTAGATAGGATCTGCCACATCTAGTCTGGGCGCCGAGCGCTAGATAGGATATCAACTCTGGTTCTTCGTTGATGATGATGGGATTATTTCAGCATTGTCAATTATGAACTCTTGGTGTGTTCTTACTTGGTGAATCTCGTGATGCAATGCTGCTGTTTGTTCGAGGTCAAGACTATCTGGACTCATATGCATGATGCTGTTTGATTGCTGAAGTTCGCTATTGCTCATCTTCCTTGCAATTTGGTATTGGAGTTGTGGTACGATTGCGCTCATCTGGCGCTTGTCTTCTGCCTTACGCGGTACATACATGCGGTCTGCTGGGCGAGTTCGGCCGTGAGTGGTGTGTAGTGAGGAGGGTGGAGACGAGTGTGTAGGTGACCCAGGAGGTGAGGGGATCGCCAGGAAGGCTACGTGAGGTGAAATGTGGTCTGGAGAGTGTGATGAGAACTATCTAATGTGCGATTGATGCTGAGGTGGAACGGCGAGATAATGCTGGTTGTGCCAATGCAGTGACTGGTCATCGCAATCGCCATTTTGTCATCTTGTGAGATTACCTCTGTGGTTGGGGGCAGCTAATTGAGGTACGTTGCCCTTAATCTTATCTTCCCTCTCCGACACTTCTTACCGTGAGGTTGTGTGTTCCTTCTTGAGAGTCCTCTCATCGTGAGGTGTCGAGTGTGCTCAACCTTGAGAGTCGGCAATGTTCATGTGGAGCATCTGGGTGGAGATGGGCGGAGCTTTCTGAAGGGCCCTGGACGAAGCACTGGGTCACGGTCACCATGCCAACCCACAGGGAGTAGAGCACGCATGCCTTGCTGCTTGTCCTTTGTTCGGCTTGCTGCGCTGTTAGATGGGTACTACTGGGCATGCCAGCCCTACAGGAAAGACGAGATCCCGGCGTCTATAAATAAACACGGAAAGGGGAAATCACTGGATGTGATCGTCGTCCTGTTGCAACGTACAATAATTCTTGATGTCACTTGGGGGCGGACGTTAAAATGCCTCTGGATCAGCCAGTGATGTAAGGCTCGCTGCACGCCGAGGATAAACATACGTGCAAGGCTGGCCAGCTCAGTGGATACTCGGGCCACAGGGGTGGGCCGGACACACACACCTTTAGACACGCGACGCTCTCCAGATCGCTCAGGGACGCTGACGTCAAGAGATACTCAGGGGAACTAAGGGAGGGGTTGATTCCAGGTGATAAGTTCGAGAAAATTCCATGTTGTCCTATCCACACAAGAGATTCTATTTTTGTGTTTTGATTAGTTAGATGGACTGCCATTGGCATCTGACAGACAACATTAGTTAGAACTGGTTATTGTTCCTGGTGCTTCTGTTTGCGGACTAGTCAGACTAAAAATAGTTTCAGTTGTAGGAATCTGCCGTACCTGTTGACCTCAAGTGATATTTGTTCCGAAATAGCCACCAACTAATTAGTTGGTCTGTGCACTATGTTGCGGTAGGCATCTTGAATGATCTAGTGTAGACAGTGCACAGTGTTGTAGCCTATGAGCGACGAGGAGGACACCGGAGAGGACGACCGGAGGATCTTGCGATCAGCTAGAGGCCCGAGAGCTCACGTGTCCCTAGGACCGGAGGGTGATAGGATTCTGTTCCGCCGTCTTAGGGAGAGGCAGCAGCAGCAAAGGAGGGCTAGAGCAGCCGAGGCCAAATAACTGTAGTTAGCGAGGCCGGTGCTACAGCAGCCATGACCACTACAGCCATGGTCACTTCTGCGCAGTAGACTTCCCAAGCCAGTAGTTCAGGTGCCATCGGGTCAACGGTCGCGCAGACCGTGAGTCAGTCCACTGGCGTTATGGCAAGTCAGGGAGCAGTGTTGACTCCAGAGGATGTCGCCATCCAGCAGGCAGCCCTGCAGGAGGCACAGCTACAACGGGCATTAGGAGAGATAAAAGCGGAGAAGGAGAAGATGATCAGAAGAAGAGCCAGGATGCAGCGGAGAGGGGCAGACATAGAGGAGTTAGAGTTGATGGACCTGAGGCATATGGATGATGATGTGAAGGTAGTTAGGAGGGCCCTGCTAGGCGTAATAGAGATGCAGGAGCATCAAACTACCATCCTTCAGGACATTCAACAGAGCCTAGCCGTTTTGGCAGCCCGTGCTTAGGCAGCACCATCACCAGCCGGGCCTGGTGCCTGGCCCATGCCATATCCTCCTTTTTCTGTCCCACCGATGACAGGGGTATCCCCATATGTAGCCCCGTCATCGGTTGCTATCGTTTCCCTGGGCATGCCGCTGTCAGGAGGGGTAACAACAGGGAGTAGTTTGCGGGTTCCTGTACAGATAGTGTTCACTCAAAGTCCATCGCAGGTTGCAGTCACCACGCAGCCTGCTGTCTCGCAGCCTGTGCAGCCTCAGGGCACGCAGCCCCAGCAGCTAGCACAACAACCTGTGTCACCGGGTCCACAACCCGGAGTGGTGCAGGGACCGGGACAAACTCAGTGGGTTCCAAAGAGGGTCATCGCCGCTCCCAAACCTTTTACAGGGGACAAGAGAGGCGAAGACCTCGACACATGGTTGAGGTTTGTGCCAGTCTATGTTAGGTGCAAACTTACCTTGCCGCACGAAGAAGTATTTGTGGCTGCATCTTACCTAGAGGGTAGTGCAGCAAGATGGTTGAGCAGTTTAGTGCAGCTCTAGGGATATGGTCATGACTTCCGCGCTTGGGCAGCCACCCAGAAACTGGATGACTTCCTGAAGATGGTGGAGGAGATGTGGCACGATCCTCAGGAGGCTCAAAGGGCCATTGATGCGATCCTGACACTGCACACAAGGCAGTTTAAGTCGGTAAGGGAAGCCACCGACGCTGTTGAGCGTATGATATGTGTCCCAGGGATGCACTATGACCCCCAGGTCCTGCTGACTTCGTACTTGAGATGCTTTTCGCAGCCTCTCAGGAAACAGTTGGCAAAAGAGGCCAATATCAATATGCACACTTTTCCTTCGTTCAACAAGGTTGCCCTAGACCTTGAAGCTAAGATAGGGCATGGACAGGCACCCACTACGGATGGGAGGAARAAGACACTGCCTCCTAACTAGAAAGCGAAAGGTTGATTAATGTTTGTCGACAACGATGGTTCAACCATCGAGTTAGACGGCAACTTCCAGGAGGGAGTAGGTATAGAGGCAGGCAGCGTAGACGCTTCAGAGGGTGGAGTAGTTGCTGTCGTATCTCA